ATTTCTAACAAAAACAAATTATTGCAGTGAAGTGTTTTTGAATCAAATTAGACAATAAATGTAAAAACTAAGTCTCTTTTTTGAATAAATTTCATTTGACAAAATGAATTAAGAAGGTAAAAAATCTATCCGATTTTCAGAATTAAATGATGAAAAAATAAACAGTGTAAATGAATATGTTGAGCATTTGATCTAAATATAAGATGATCCTTAACACCTCTAATCAGTTAAGAATTCATTTTAAATATCAAATCTACTTAATGTTTTTGATAATAAATTCAATTTTATATCAAATAATTATCAAGATAACATGATGAGATACTTAATAGAAACATATCCATTTTCAAAAAATATAAACACAGACCAAATGTTCTCTGAATAATAAAGTTTTAATATTTTAAGGAGTCTAGAAACAAATTATATAAAAGAGTTTGTTAAAATAGTAAAAAAGAAATAGAATCTAAATGAAAAACAATAAAACTTTGAAAATAGTTAAACATACAGAGTTCAATAAAAAATACTAGAATCATTTATTTTTGAAAAACCAGAATTGGAAAATACCTTAAAACAATTTCCTATCTTTGATTTATTATTGTTAAAAGGGAAGAATATCTTGAATGAATTATAATTTTAGAAAAGCAATATAAATGATGGAAACTAGCGAATAGAAATAGTTAAAAATATGAATAACTAATTTGAAATTTCTATAAATGAAACAAACTACTAAGGGAGTAAAAAAGATTGGCCTACTAATTGCATTTCTTAGATATTGGAAAGAGATAAAAAATACATATTTAGGATTTAATTTCAAAAGGGATTTAGTAGTATATTTGTGATAGGATTGATGAAAAATGATAATTTCAATAGCAATTAAGGATGTAATGATAAAATGAGCTACTATTTTAAATTAGAAAATAATAAGATGAAATACTATGGATAGTATGGAATTGATAAATTTGTAAAAGGAGATAAGACATAATTGCTAGATGAAAATAGTATTTTAGAGTTGAGAGTTTGGTTAGAAGGATAGTAAGTTGAGGTATTAAATTACCCAGATTATTCCTATTAAGTTGAAATCTAAGATGGATATAAATAAAATCTATCATAAAAAGATCTAAGTTTATATTTCTATTTAGGTGGGCACTAAGATAAATATATCTTAAAAGAAGCATTAATAGTTGAGTAATTTTGAAAATTAAAGTAAGGTTAAATTTAAAATCAAATAAATTAATGAATAAATGATTTAAAAATAATAGTTAAATTTGTTATTTTAAAATTTTACTTTTTATAAAATTTTAATTATATTTTTTTAAAAAATTGAGTTTTAATAATAAATTAATATTTTCTTTTAAAATAATTAAGCATATTTGTAATATTATAAAATAAAAAATTAAAAATATAATTAATTTCTTAATTTACATATTTATATTCAAATATTATAAAAAAAATTTCTTATAAAAAAAGTAGAATAAAATTATTTCATTAACTAATATACTTTATTAATAACAAATCCAGGAATTAAATTCTTAATTTTTCACATCCATAAAAATTTAATTAATACCTGGAAGAGCTATTATATATCTAAGCATATTTAATCAATCAAATAAATGGATTAATTAGCTCCAAACAGCATTCCTATTCAATAAAATTGCATCTTTCATCCTCAAAATAAACTCGCTTTTATATAAGTTAAGGAAATTTCATCCCTTCCTAACTCTAACATATTCTAATGTGTTGATTGTTTTGAATAAGATTTACAATTTAGAGGTGCCAATTATATGCTCATCTAAAAAAATATTGAAAATTCAGAATCTGACTTTCATTATAAATGGCCGCCACTCAATGATTAGCAGATCATTCAGAATATTGATCTGAAAGCTAAGAATCTCAATTCAACATAAAGCGTCCTCAATTAAATCAATTCTTACTTCACTTAGCTAAAAGATGAAATCATAAAAAAAATCGATGCCTCTTAGAAAAAAGCAATCAATCAAGCTCTCCAAATGCCTTTTAGCAAAGACTAAATTTTGAAAAGGTATCAAGAAATATCTTAAATTCAAAATTTAAAATCACTACTCATGTAAGACTATAATAAGTCTTTTGAGCTCTAATAAAAATCATGTAAAGAATTCATTTAGTAAGTAGAATTAAATAAAGATAAAAATACACAACTGCTTTAAGAGTTGCTTAATTAATGCGAATAAATTGAACTATTAATTGATTTTGATAGATTAAACAAAAGCAAAGTATTTTTATTAGATTTTTTAGATTAGCTTAACTTTTTTGAAGATTAAACATAAAGTCAAGTCAGCTCTGAAAATCACTTAAATAATATTATTTTACCATAATAAGATAATAGTAAAATAGATTAATTAATGAATTTAATTTCTAACAAAACCAATTATTGCAGTGAAGTGTTTTTGAATCAAATTAGACAATAAATGTAAAAACTAAGTCTCTTTATTGAATAAATTTCATTTGATAAAATGAATTAAGAAGGTAAAAAAGCTATCCGATTTTCAGAATTAAATGATAAAAAAATAAACAGTATAAATGAATATGTTGAGCATTTAATCAAAATATAAGATGATCCTTAACACCTCTAATCAGTTAAGAATTCAGTTTAAATATCAAATCTATTCTATGTACTTGATAACAATTTCAATTTTATCTCAAAAAATTATCCAGATAACTTGATGAGATACTTAATTGAAACATATCCATTTTCAAAAAATATAAACACAGACCAAATGTTCTCTGAAGAATAAAGCTTTAATATTTTAAGGTGTATAGATACAAATTATATAAAAGAGTTTGTTAAAATAGTAAAAAATAAATACAATCTAAGTGAAAACCAATAAAACTTTATTCATATATAATCTGAATTGGAAAATACCTTAAAACAATTTCCTATCTTTGATTTATTATCATTGTTAAAAGAGAAGTATATTTTGAATGAACTATAATTTTAGAAAAGCAATTTTAATGAATGGAATTTAGCGAATAGAAATTATTAAAAATATGAATAACAAATTTGAAATTTCTATAAATGAAACTAACTACTAAGGGAGTTGTAAAAATTGTTCTACTTATTGCATTTCTTAGATATTAGAAAGAGATAAAAAATATATATTTAGGATTTAATTTCAAAAGGGAGCTTATGCTAATTATGGTAGTTCTATGATAGGAATTATGAAAAATGAGAATTTCAATAGATAACAGGGAAATTAAGATAAAATGAGCTACCATTTTAGATTATAAAATAATAAGATGAAATACTATGGAGGTTTTGGAATTGATAAGTTTGTAAAAGGAGATAAGACATAATTGCTAGATGAAAATTGTACTTTAGAGTTGAGAGTTTGGTTAGAAGGATAGTAAGTTGAGGTATTAAATTACCCAGATTATTCCTATAAAGTTGAAATCTAAGACGAATATAAATAAAATCTATCATAAAAAGATCTATGTTTATATTTCTATTTACAAGAGAACTAACATAAATATATCTTAAAAGAAATATTAATAGTTGAGCAGTTTTGAAAATTAATGTAAGTAAGGATGAAATAAAAATCAAATAAATAAATGAATATAATAATTGTTAATTATAAATACGATGTAGTAAAAAAATAATAGGCATATTAATATTTTATATTTTAATGATTCAGTAAATTTAGTGAAAAGCAAACTAACTATTAGATATGATATAATTTGTTTGTTCTAATTTTTCTCATTATTTTTTTTTTCAAATAAATATTCTAATAATTCATTTTTTTAATAAGCTAAAATATTTATATTAGAAATAAAAATTCAATAATATAAATAGATAAGTAACTAAATAGACCATTTAGAATTAAAATAAAATATTTTAAAATTCTTAATATTAGTTTTTTAATTTATGAAATATTAAAAATATCTAGAGTTAAATGCCTTTTTTATTTTGGATTGGCATTACTAATGAATATTTATTTAATTTAAAGAAAGTTAGACAAATTTTTAGCTTAAAAAAAAACTTAGATTAAATTTTCAAAATCTTTGTAAATTTTTTTATAAAAAATTGATGGAATCTTTGAAAATTTGTTTTAATTTGAAATCTGGAGATCAAGTTGTGAAAAAATAATAAAATTAAAATGTGATATTTGTAAGTATTGAATGTAAATATAGTTGATAGTTTTTAATGTTTTGTATTTAGTTTGATTAGAATAAAATTCAATTTGTAAAATATCTTTCTGACTACTCTATTATTTCTTATTTTAAAATATACACTAAATAAATATTCTAATAGATCGATAGATAGATATAACATATTTTTATTTTTTATTTGTTTATTTACTTATTTATTTTACTTTCTATTTTCTGATTTTTATTTAATAAATCAAAACAATCTCAAATATTTAAGATTTTAAGTTTTGTAGCAATAAATCTAAGCATATTTAATCAATCAAATAAAATGGATTAATTAGCTCCAAACAGTATTCCTATTCAATAAAATTGTATTTTTCATCCTCAAAATAAACTTGCTTTTATCTAAGTTAATGAAATTTCATCCGTTCCTAACTCTAACATATTCTAATGTGTTGATTGCTTTGAATAAGATTTACAATTTAGAGGTGCCAATTACATGCTCATCTAAAAAATTATTGAAAATTCAGAATCAGATTTTCATTATAAATGGCCACCTCTCAATGATTAGCAGATCATTCAGAATATTCATTTGAAGGCTAAGAATCTCAATTCAACATAAAGCGTTATCAATTAAATCAATTCTTACTTCACTTAGCTAAAAGATGAAATCATTAAAAAAATAGATGTCTCTTAGAAAAAAGCAATCAATCAAGCTCTTGAAATGCCTTTTGGCAAAGAGTAAATTTTGAAAAGGTATCAAGAAATATCTTAAATTCAAAACTTAAAATCACTGCTCGTGTAAGACTCGAATAAGTCTTTTGCGCTCTACCAAAAATCATGTAAAGACTTCATTTAGTAAGTAGAGTTAAATAAAGGTAAAAATACACAGCTTCTTTAAGAGTTGTTAAATCAATGTGATTAAATTTAACAATTGATTGATTTTGACAGATTAAACAAAAGCAAAATATTTTTATTAGATTTTTTAGATTAGCTTAACTTTTTTGAAGATTAAACATAAAGTCAAGTGAGATCTGATAATAACTTAAATAATAATATATTATCATAACAAGATAATAGTAAAATAGATTAATTAATGAAATTAATTTCTAACAAAACCAATTATTGCAGTGAAGAGTTTTTGAATGAAATTAGACAATAAATGTAAAAGCTAAGTCTCTTTATTGAATAAATTTCATTTGACAAAATGAATCAAGAAGGTAAAAAAGCTATCAGATTTTCAGAATTAAATGATGAAAAAATAAACAGTGTAAATGAATATGTTGAGCATTTGATCAAAATATAAGATGATCCTTAGCATCTCTAATCAGTTAAGAATTCATTATAAATATCGAATCTCCTTAATATTCTTGATAACAAATTCAATTTTATCACAAATAATTATCGAGATAACTTGATGAGATACTTAGTTGAAACATATCCATTTTCAAAAAATATAAACACAGATCAAATGTTCTCTGAAGAATAAAGCTTTAATATTTTGAGGAGTTTAGAAACAAATTATATAAAAGAGTTTGTTAAAATAGTAAAAAAGAAATAGAATCTAAATGAAAACCAATAAAACTTTGAAAATAGTTAAACATACAGCGTTCAATAAAAAATACTAGAATCATTTATTTTTGAAAAACTTGAATTGGAAAATACCTTAAAACAATTTCCTATCTTTGATTTATTATTGTTAAAAGGGAAGAATATCTTGAATGAACTATAATTTTAGAAAAGCAATTTACATGATGGAAACTAGCGAATAGAAATAGTTAAAAATATCAATAACTAATTTGAAATTTCTATAAATGAAACTAACTACTAAGGGAGTAAAAAAAATTGGGTTACTAATTGCATTTCTTAGATATTGAAAAGAGATAAAAAATATATATTTAGGATTTAATTTCAAAAGGGAAAGGATTGTTATTCTCAAATAGGATTAATGAAAAATGATAATTTCAATAGCCAAGGTGGATATGAAGATTAATTGAGCTGCAGTTTTAGATTAGAAAATAATAAGATGAAATACTATGGAGGTTATGGAATTGATAAATTAGTAAAAGGAGATAAGACATAATTGCTAGATGAAAATAGTATTTTAGAGTTGAGAGTTTGGTTAGAAGGATAGTAACTTGAGGTATTAAATTACCCAGATTATTCCTATAAAGTTGAAATCTAAGATGAATATAAATAAAATCTATCTTAAAAAGATCTATGTTTATATTTTCATTTATTTGTGCACTAACAAAAATATATCTTAAAAGAAGCATTAATAGTTGAGTAATTTTGAAAATTAAAGTAAGGATAAATTCAAAATCAAATAAACAAATTAATGAAGGAATTAAAAATAATAGTTGAATTTGTTTATATATTGAAATATAGAGATTGGAATAATGATTATTAATAATAAATACAATGTAGTGAAAAAATAATAGTCATAAATATATTTTATATTTTATTGATTCAGTAAAATTAGTGTAAAGTAAACTAACTATTAATTCTATTTTATTTTTTTGTTCTATTTTTTTCATGATTTATTTTTTCAAATAAATATTCTTATTCATTTTTTTAAAAAGTTAAAATATTTTTATTAGTGTAACTAAATAAATAAATAAATACCTTAATAGACCAGTAACAATTAACATAAAATTAAATAAAATTCTGAAAATGAGTTTTTTAAGCTTTATTCATTTTTGAATCTTTTTTCTCTTTTTACTTTCATATTTTAAAAATTCAATTATATAAAATATTTTCAAAAATACATTTTTTATATATTCTCTATTTAAAATCCAATTTAAATTTCCAATTTCTTAATTAGAATATTAGTTCTTTATTTGAAGTTAACATTAAATATTCAAATCTTTATTTATTTTTATTTGTTTATTTACTTATTTCTTTTTTGCTTTCTATGATAATATTTCAATCTTCTGATTTTTATTTAATAAATCAAAACAATTTCAAATATTTAAGATTTTATATTTTGTAATAAATAATATATCTAACTAAGCATATTCAATCAATCAAATCAAATGGATTAATTAGCTCCAAATAGTATTCCTATTCAATAAAATTGTATCTTTCATCCTTAAAATAAACTTGCCTTTATCTAAGTTAATGAAATTTCATCCCTTCCTAACTCTAACATATTCAAATGTGTTGATTGCTTCGAATAAGATTTACAATTTAGAGATGTCAATTACATGCTCATCTAAAAAATTATTGAAAATTCAGAATCTGACTTTCATTATAAATGGCCACCTCTCAATGATTAGCAGATTGTTCAAAATATTCATTTGAAGGCTAAGAATCTCAATTCAACATAAAGCGTTCTCAATTAAATAAATTCTTACTTCACTTAGCTAAAAGATGAAATCATTAAAAAAATCGATATCGCTTAGAAAAAAGCAATCAATCAAGCTCTTGAAATGCCTTTTGGTAAAGAGTAAATTTTGAAAAGGTATCAAGAAATATCTTAAATACAAAATTTAAAATCACTGCTCATGTAAGACTAGAATAAATCTTTTGCGCTCTACCAAAAATCGTGTAAAGATTTCATTTAGTAAGTAGAGTTAAATAAAGCTAAAAATACTCAGCTTCTTTAAGAGTTGCTCAATCAATGCGATTAAATTTAACAATTAATTGATTTAGACAAATTAAACAAAAGCAAAATATTTTTATTAGATTTTTTAGATTAGCTTAACTTTTTTGAAGATTAAACATAAAGTCAAGTGAGATCTGATAATCAATTAAATAATAATATGTTACCATAATAAAATAATAGTAAAATAGATTAATTAATGAATTTAATTTCTAACAAAACCAATTATTGCAGTGAAGAGTTTTTGAATCAAATTAGACAATAAATGTAAAATCTAAGATTCTTTTTTGAATAAATTTCATTTGACAAAATGAATCAAGAAGGTAAAAAAGCTATCAGATTTTCAGAATTAAATGATGAAAAAATAAACAATGTAAATGAATATATCGAGCATTTGATCAAAATATAAGATGATCCTTAACACCTCTAATCAGTTAAGAATTCAGTTTAAATCTCGAATCTACTCAATGTCTTTGATAGCAAATTCAATTTTATCTCAAATAATTATCGAGATAACTTGATGAAATACTTAATTGAAACATATCCATTTTCAAAAAATATAAACACAGACCAAATGTTCTCTGAAGAATAAAGCTTTAATATTTTGAAGAGTCTAGAAACAAATTATATATAAGAGTTTGTTAGAATAGTAAAAAAGAAATAAAATCTAAATGAAAACCAATAAAACTTTGAAAATAGTTAGACATACAGAGCTCAATAAAAAATACTAGAATCATTTAGATTTGAAAAACCAGAATTGGAAAATACCTTAAAACAATTTCCCATCTTTGATTTATTATTGTTAAAAGAGAAGAGTATCTTAAATGAACTATAAATTT